CTTGGGAGGCAGTCCATGGCACGGTGTGAAAGGAAAAAGCAGACAAGCCCCCTTTTATTTTAGAAAGATGCATCTGTGTTTATTTTATCTCTTCTGTATGTAAAACAAATATTTGCTATTTTAATATTATATTTACAGATTATAGGTATAAGTACTTAGAATGTGAATACATTTATATTTTATATGTTTTAAATATATAAAGTTTATTTTATTCTGTTTCATATCTTCATTTTATTTTATTTTATTTTTTGAGGTGGGGGGGTCTCACTCTGTCGCCCAGGCTGGAGTGCAGTGGCACGATCACAGCTCACCACCGCTTCGACCTTCTGGGCTCGGGGCATCCTCCTGCCTCAGCCTCCTGTGTAGCTGGGACTACAGCATGTGCCCCCATGCCCTGCTGATTTTTTGATTTGTTTTGTTGAGTCAAGGTCCTACGATATTGCTTAGGCTGGCCTTGAATTCCTGAGCTCAAGCAATCCCCGTGCCTCTGCCTCCCAAGGTGCTGGGATTAGAGGTGTGAGGCACCGCCTTTTGATATCTTTAGAATCCAAAACTTTAGGAGGATGTATTCTAGAATGTTAATTCTAGATTTTGCTTTCTGATGTTTTTGCGTATTTAAAACTTGGGGTTTTTAAAAACAGCTTCATTGAGGCATAATTCACTTACCATACAATCCACCCATTTCAGATGAACGATTCAGTGGTTTTTAGTATATTCGCAGTGTTGTGCAACCATTGCCGCAATCAACTCTAGAGCGTTTTTGTCTCCCCAGGAAGAAACCCTTGCCCCTTGACTCTCGCCACTTCCTGCCGGCGCCTCCGCCACCCCTGGTGGCCTCTGCTCTGCGTTCCGCCTCTGTGGATCCTGCCTGTTCTGGGCTGTTCATACAGAAGGACTCACAGAACGTGCAGCCTTTGGCCTCTGGCTTCTCCCACTGAGCACCACGTTCTCCAGGCTCATCGGGTCATGGTGTGTGTCGGGCTCCGCGCCCGTTGACAGCTGGATGCTGTGTGTTTGTCGGGTGGGCCACGTCTTGTGTGTCTACTCATTAGTTGCTGGCTATTGGCTTTGTGTTGTTTTCTTTCGCTCTCTGGCGGCTATGACTCATGCTGTCTGTGAGCATGCACATTTGGTTTCTGTAAGGCCCTCTGTTTCCATTTCTCTTGCGCATACGCGTGGGAGTGGGACTGCCGGGCCACGCAGCGACTCCATGTCTGGCGTTTTGAGGAACCGCCAGACAGCTTCCACGGCGGCTGCACCCTCTCACTTTCCCACAAGCCTGTCTCAGGGCTGGCTTCTCCACACTTGCTGTGCTCCGTCTTTTGGATGACAGCCATACAGTGCAAGCCCCCACTAAATGGATTTTCACTCTCAAAGCAAAGCCATTTCTTGCCTTTAATTAAAATGAAAGGAAGCGTTCCTTCCTATGAATGTGTTCCTCTTTCAAGGCAAACAAAATTCAGATCATAAAGGAGTCAAAAAACAGAGAAATTCTAGACGTATGTGTGTTAATTGTGAATCAACTCACCGTGAAGAATCAGGTCTCACTGGGATGTATATGCCAGTTTGGGATGTTTGGGCACAGCTCATAGTGGGAGTGTGCCCGCAGCCCCCTGATGTGGTCCAGGACGGCGCCATGCGCCAACCCTGCCTTTGGTGCCAGCTTTAGTCTGGGGTCCTCGCCACGCCCCGAGCCGGAGCCGTCCTCCCCACCAGACCCCGTGGGGCAGGCTGCAGGTGGTGTCCAGATTTCCCCGCCAAGTCTGAGTCGGAGGTCCACATGCAGCGAGCAGGAAGCTGCCCATGACGGCTGGAGCCCAGCGGCGGTGCCATCAGCAGAGTGCCAGATGTGCGTTAGAGAGGACCGCCGTGGGTTAGGCACTGGGTGTGCGGCACGTGCGTGTGGCATGTGCTTGCTGCTGGCATCCTCACCCCACTGTGCCTCACCACATGCCAGACACGTGTCAGACATGCATCACACACGCATTGTACAAGAACTGGACCTGACCAGTGCCCCGGGCGAGGCAGGCACAGACCTGTGTAAGGCCCACAGCTGGCATGCTGTGGTGAGGGCAGGAGCTGGAAGGAGAGCCGGGGCCCTGGTTCTCGGGGCTGTGCCAGGAGCCAGCCAAGGGAGGGGACCCTGAGACACGGCTGCTCAGGGCGGGATCTGGCACATTCACATGCCACTGCTCTGTGCAACTGCCTCAGCGTTGACGTCCCTGAGCGTTGGCACGGGAGTGGGGGAAAGAGGCCATTTTGTAGTTAAAAGAACCCAAATGCTCCATGAATTAATATTGCCTGTCCATGTGCGCCTGCCAGTAGCTCCTTGTGGTCGTTCGTGGCTTGTGTCTCAGCGCCCGAGGCCGCCTTGTTTTACAGTGCATGTCTGGGTCCACACTCGCCCATGCTTCTTTCTTTGGATTAATGGTGGATGGTGGTTTTTCCTGCAGGTAGGGATGACACCTTCTCCGGAGCGGGTCAGGCCCTGCCCGGAGGCGTTTACAGCCAGAATATGGGAGAATGTGTGCTCCCTCTAAAATCAGAGCATCTCCTGGCAGCCGTGATCATGCACAGGTGGGGCATGGGCTTTGCTCCTTGTGGCAAAAGCAGTGCACCGGGGGGGGCTTGTACGTGCCAGTTGTATATTTGCATACGCATGGGCCCCTGTGCCCATGGAAACACACGAGCATGTGCCTACGGACAAAACCATGCCTATGGGCACACGCATGCACGCGCAAACACACGCTTGCATGCCTGTGGCACGCACGCCTCCGTAGGCGCACACACACACTCACCATGCACACGTTGGACACACTGCACACACATGCACACATGCACACGTGCCTTACTCCTTCTCTGATGCTGGAATTTCTCCTCTGGTTTCAGAAGGCTTCCCTGGAGGTTTTGCCAGGACCACAAGGTCTTTACGGTTCTTAGTCGCCGAGGATGGTTAGGACCCGCGAGGACACACCTCTGCCTCTCATGGGAGGAGTGGGCTGTGGCCCTGAAGGCCCACTGAGTGTTTCTCCCCTGGGACCCGTGACGCCAGACCCTGTGGTGCCCGGATGGAGCGCTACAAATGCAGGCGAACCAGAGCAAGGCTCATCAGCGCAAAAAGGCCACACATGACAGTAGGCTGAAAGGAAATGCGATTTTCTAGGAGGCGTTTGCTAGGCTGGGAAGCCTGCTGGTGAAAGTATGCAGGTGTTCTGTTTTCGTTGAAAGAGTAAATGACGTTTCTTGTGTTTACATGGATACTTCTCTGTATCCCACATGCTCAGAACCGTGGAAGCATTCAAGGTCTTTCTGAAGATTTTGTTCTCGTCACAAATAAATGGTTTTCTAAGTAAGCTTTACCCAGGCCCTGATCCAGTTATACAAACTGTGGAATCAGTGAAATCCACACAAAAGTGTCTGCCATGAAGGCCGGTTTGCAGAGGCAGGGTGGGTGGCTCCGGGTCTCCAGGTCTCCAGGCCTCTCCCTCCAGCAGCCTGGGGGCAGCCGCGATCGCCCAGCCCAGTCCTGGCCGGAGCATCGTCTGTGCCTCCCAGTTTAATCTGCATCCCCTGATGGCTAGTGATGTGGAGCTTTTTCATATGTGGTTGGCTACTTGTCTTCTTGGGTGATATGTCTGTTCAAATCTTGTGCCCATTTCAAAGTTGAATTATTTGTCATCTTTTTATCGAGTTGTAGGAGTTCTTTATTCGTTCTGGATGCAAGTCCAGATCTGAATGCAACCCTTTATTCAATAGCTGAGTTGCAAATGTTTTTCTCAGGCTGTCTCTTCACTTTCTCCCTGGTACTTCTGAAGCATAAGCTTTTTCGTTTTCAGTTTTGATGAAGTCTGCTTAATCACCCTTTTTTTAGCAGTTGGACTTTGGGTGTCATATGAAGGAATCTCACCTAGCTCCAGGGTCCAGATTAGTTCCTGTTCTTCTGAGAGCCTGACGGTTCCAGCCTCGCATGCAGGCGTGAGGTCTTCTTGGGTTCGTCTGTAGGTGTGGTCGGGGTCAGGGCCCGGGGCCATTGCTGGACATGTGGACACCCACCAGTCCCTACCACTTCTTCCTGTCACTTTCCGACAAGATGGGACCTGCCACTTTAGTTCTTACTTGAAGGATTCACATGTTTCCTATCTTGGACCTTAGCTGTAAATGTGCCTGGGAGTAGAATTCCATCAAATGTTGGGTGAGCTGCAGGTGTGTGTGTGCTGGGGCGATCGCTGGATTTCCTAAACAGCTGACCAAGTCCAGGGTGGTGCCTTTCGAAGAGATGAGCCAGTGTTTCCTAACCTAGCCTGTGCCAGTCAGAACAATGGGAGGCTTGTTGAGTGACAAAGCCCACTGGCTTTCTGCCTCTTAATTAGGCTTGCAGTTTATTTTAAGTCTCCATCTGTGGTGCGGCTGCATCTGTGGGTGACTCATGCGTGGGTGTCATGACTGCGCGCACTGCACAGAGGGTCAGCAGCGGCGGGGTCCTCGCCCGTGGGAAGCGAGGGCAGTCGCACAGCCAGCGTTTTGCACCGGATTTCTGGAAAGAAGAGCGATACGTGAGACCAGGATGCTGTGTTTTATTTTAAGTGCGTAAAGTGAGCCACCTCCTACCCAAAACCCTCTGAGACATGAGGGCCGTCCTGGAGCGCTTGTCTGAGCCCAGACCCGCACAACAGCCGTCGCGTGCTGATGACCACAGCTCATGCAGTCTCTGACGCTCCCGGACCGGAAGCCCCGCTGCGCCTGGAAGCTCCCTCGTGTAGCACAAGGCCAAGGCATGGAGGCCGGGAGGCTCCTTGTTGTTGCCTTTCATGGTCTGCGCGCTGCTGCCTCCGCTTGTGCCCGACTGAGAGGCTGCGAGTTCGTGTGTCGTGCGGGTGAGACGCACCGGGCATTTTCTGGTGTGTTTAAAGCACGCTCCACGTGTGCGCAGAAGGCCAGGTGCCCATGCAGGTGACACGCAGCACCGTATTCTAACCTCGCGTGTTTTGTGTCTTGTCCAGCCCCTTTTATGGAGAAGACTTCTACTGTGAAATTCCACGGAGTTTCCGGCACCTGTCGTTCTACATTTTCGACCGAGACGTTTTCCGGAGGGACTCCATCATAGGTAGGTCCTCACGTGGCCACTCCCTCACGTCCGCTCTTCTGTCTTCTGGGGGGAAGGGGCGTCTTTCCCAAGCGCCCTGTCCTGCTCTACACCTGGGGATGCTGGCCTCGAATCGAGAGCCTTCCTAGGTGCTGAATGGACGTGGCAGCACTGGGGTCCGGCACTCCTGATACGCTCCCGGGCCTGGCCTGTGCCTGGGGTCCCATGTCCCCTGCCCGGTGGCTACTGAGTTGCTGTCAAAGAGCTTCCCACTAGAGCTCAGTCAGAGAGCATGACACCTGGGCAAGGCCTCTGTGTGGCCCCTCGGGTGCGGGCATGGCGTCTCCAACTGCCCAGATGATGTCCAGGGGTTCCTTCCAGGGTTTGTCTGCAGAGGGGCCTTTGGGTGGATGTGCGCCCCCTCTCCTCGGCATGTCCAGGTGGCCCAGGGGTGGACGGGGGAAGAGCCAGCAGAGGTGGGGCAAGGCGTGGGCATGGGGCCTGGACCAGGCAGACATGCTCCAGGGTCGCGCGGGGGCACTTGTGACTTAGAGCCTCAGCTTCCCTCTGGCTGTCGGGAGCAGCAATGCCTTCGCCTTCAGGAGAGACTGTGTGAGGAGCAGGCATAGAGGGGCTGCTCTGCCCATCTGCTAAACCATCACCATCCACCGTCAACATCCACCATCCACCACTCCCCATCCACCACCCATGTCCCCTACACCATCCACCACCCGCCATGACCACCCGCCATCACATCATCTGCCTGCCGTCCACCGTGCGCTGTTTCCCATCCGCCATCTACCACCACCATCCACCATCTGGTCACCATCCACCATCACCATTCCACATCCCCGTCCACCCTCCACCCTCCACCCTCCACCATCGTCATCCATCATCTACCACCTCCCGTCCACCCTCACCGCTCCCCATTCATCGTGCACCATCACCGTCACCATCCACCGTTCCCCATCTACCACCTGCCATCCACCATCGCCATCCACCATCACTATTCGCCATCTGTCATCACCATCCACCATCACCATCTACTGTTTTCCATCCATCATCCACCATCCGTTATCATTCCCTGCACTCACCCTCCGGTAGTGTTTCTTTAGCTTATTGTCACCGTGTGTGGCAATGACGAACTTAATGCTTGATGAACTTTGCGCTCATTGGATCAAGCTTTCCATCGCCCACAGCCCACTCCTTGTGTTCCCAACACCTACTAGGTGCTCAAAGGGCTGTCCAAGGAAGAAAGGTAGAAAGCTAGAAAGCCCTAGGAAGGGAGAGGAGAGTCTAACCCTAACTTAACCCTAACCCTAACCCTAGCCTTTTGGCTGAATGCTGATACTTTCCCTGTTGGTGATTTGCCCACACTGGACTTGCCAAATATGGTAGGTATTGGTCTTAGTCATTGGCTCAGGTGACACACCCGAATGAAGAGGTATTTGATTGATTCTTGAAGGCAAATGAGAATTTCTCTGAGTGGTAACCACAGGAAAAAGATAGTAAAACGATTTTGAGGGGACACATTTTAATCAGAGAATCGGATCAGGTTAGTTCCGGGATTATCTTCTCTCAAAATAATCAAACAAGCTGTTTATTAACATCCTGTTTAAGGTGTCTGCTATTTTTAAAGATAATCAGCAAAATCACTGTTTAGCAATTCTTTGTAGCTTTGCAATTACAGTGTGTCAGCAAGTGATCGGACTTAGATGTTTTCACTGTTGTTTTTATAGCCATAAAAATAAGTGGCTGTCTGGGTCTCCAGCAATAATTTAAAGTAATGACTAGTAATTATGTTGGCACCAGGAATAAGACACCAAGTTCCAGGGAATACGTTTCTGTCGTGGAAATGAGTGGTGTTACCCCACGGGCGCCTGGCCCTGTGGTTTTGTGTGTTCCTGGTTTCTAACCTCCCGTGCCCTGCGGAAACCCCACCTGCCACAGGGTTTCTTTGATGTCCAGGAATGAGGCGTGTGCCAGTGGTGGTCAGCACTGAACGGGGACAAGGGCATGCCAGGCTAGGGGTGGCGGACACAGCCCCCAGCACCAGCAGCGAGAAGGAGACTCAACCTGGAGAGGGAGGGCGGGTGGTTCCCAAGACCCTGAAACACAGCAGAAGCTGCCCAGGGAGATGTGGTGTCCTCGGCAAGTGGGAGTCCTAACCTTACCCTGCCCTGCTGACCACCAGCATCTCCAGGGGCTGAATCCAGCCAGGAGCAGGCCCAGAACCACAGTCAGCCTCCCAGGACGGCAGGAGGAGCAAGCAGAAGGAAAGCGTCTGGCCCAAGAGGCCATCCTGGGTGCTGCAGCTATCTGACTGGTCTGCCTGTGGTCAGTGCCCTGGGCTTCGTGGGCCCACAGAGTGTAGCTGTTGCAAGGCATTACTGGTACCTTGAAGATCCCCAGCCAAGGGGCCTTGGCCTTGTAGGACTTCCTGGGCTCGGGTGATCCTTCCACCTCTGCCTCCTGAGTAGCTGGGACTACAGGTACACACCACCATATCTGGTTAGTTTTTAAACTTTCTGTAGAGATGAGGTCTTGCTATGTTGCCTAGGCTGGTCTCGAGCTCCTGGGCTCAAGCGACCCTCCCGTCTTGGCCTCCCAAAGGGCTGGGATTATAGGCATGAGCCACTGCACCTGGCAGTTTTTATTTTTTAATTAATTTTTACCGTTCTCATAGGTGTGTGTGGTACTGTCCTGGCTCTTGTTACGTGTCCACAGTGAAGAATGCTATGGGGCATCTTCTCATATGCTTATTCACCAGCTTGTCTCTTTTTTGGAAACTCGTTCCCATCTTTTGCTCTTTTAATTGGGCTGTTTTCTTATTATTGAGTTTTTTACATGCTCTCTATATTTTGGGTGCAAGTCCATCAGATATGTGTCTTGTGAATGTTTTCTTCCAGTCTGTGGCTTGTTTTCTCATGTTCTTACCCTTGTATTTTGAAGAGTAGAGGTGTTACGTTTTGATGAAGTCCAGGTTGTCAGATTTTTTCTTTTATAATTCGTATTTTGGGGTTGCAGCTAAGACATATTTGCCTATCCCAGGTTGTGACAGTTTTCTCTAGAAAGTTTAGGATTTAAGCTCCTACGTTGAGTTCTATGGCTTATCTCAAGTTGATTTTTACATATATCATGAAAGAGTCAGAGTATTGTTTTTTTCCTTATAATTTATAGATGTCCATTTGTTTCAGTGCTCTTGGTTGAAAGTATCCTTTCTCCATTGAATCACTTTGGCACCTTTTTGAAAATCAGGTGATGACATTTGTGTGGGTCTCTTTCTGGTTTCTCTGTTTTGCTCCGTCAACCTGCATGTACTTATGTCAGGACCACCCTGGTCTTGCTTACTGAGGCTTCATAGCAACTCTTTTTGTTTTTGAGTTGGAGTCTCACTCTGTCATCCAGGCTGGAGTGCAGGGACACACTCACGGCCACCACAGCCTGGACCTGCTGGGCTCAGGTGATCCTTTGGCCTCAGCCTTCCAAGTAGCTGGAACTACAGGCACGCGCCAACACGTCTGGCTAATTTTTTGATTTGTTGTAGAGATGAGGTCTTGCCAAGTTGCCCAGGCTGGTCTTGAACCCGTGGGCTCAGGCAGTCCTCTCTCCTCAGCCATAGTCAGTCATGTGAGATCATCAGCTTTGTTTTTATCCAAACTTGTTTTGCTCTTCTAGGTCCTTTTAATTGCCCCATCCATTTTAAACTAGTTTCTCCATTTCTAAAACATTCTCACAGGAATTTTGATTGGGATTACATTGATCTATAGATGAATTTGGGAAGAATTAATATCTCGACAAAACTGAGTCTTCTGATCCATGGATATGGTCTGTCTTTCCCGGTGCTCAGGTCTTCTTAATTTCTCTCATCGGTGTTTTGTGATGTGCTTTCAATTTATGTCTTGCACATTTTGAAAAATTATTCATCTGTATTTTATGTTTTTAATAGAGTAGGCAAAGATTAATGGTACTGGTTTTTAAATTTCAATTGCCATGGTCATTGCTTGTATGTACAAACACGGTTGACTTTTATATAAAGACTTTGTATTGTGTGGCCTTGCTAAACACACCAGTTAGTTCTGTTAGCTTTCCTTGCAGATTTTTTTTTTTTTTTGCCAATTCTATAACGACTTCTATTTCATCCCCCTGGGTCTGTATGCCCTTTGTTTTGTTTTCTTGCCCACGATGGGCGAGGTCACAGGTTGAACCGGAGTGGGGAGCACACCAGGCTCTGCTGCACTCTTGGCCTTGCAGTTCTTGCTGCAGATTTTTGCCCCTGGTTCCTCTTTTAGTTCTCCCAGGGCTTCCGTAGGTAGGTTCCCATGTCAAGGGCCCTCTGTTGAACTGCCAGCTGCTCTTTGGTAGGTGGGCCCAGCAGGCACAGAGCCGGCAGGAGAAAGTGACAAAGCAGGCCTTCAGTGGTGAGAAGACTGCATAGCTCGGCCTCTGCCCCAGTGGGAGAATGAGGCCAGAGTAGACTTTCTGATGCCACGCAAGTGGATGGGGACAACTCTGCGGCTTATGGCACACCGAAGAAAGTTAAATAGATCCTGTGGCTTTGAGAGCGGGTGTGCCTTCAGAGCAGCAGGCAGAACCATTAGCACGGGGGTTTGAAAAAACACACATTCTCGGATTCTTGAATGTGGCCAACCTCTAGGAGGACAGATTGGAAACTGGCGACAGAGACGACCACCCTCGGGAACACGGCAGCAGGGGAGAGAGCCTGTGTATCCTTTTGGATATTTTGGATTTGGGGCTACGTTTTGAAATTACCTATGAAAAAACTTAAATGAAGCACTTCTAAAAATAATGACCAGTGAGGATCCGTAAGTTCGGAATCCACACTGACATTCAATATGTGACTTCTCTCTATCCCGGTCTCACCTCATAAAAATGTGAATAAACAATTGTGTTGCAATTACTTCACATTTCAAACTGCCCAACTAATCCTCCTGTCCAGCTGAAGTCATCCTGGAGTCTGAAGATTACTCTAGCCCTTTTCCCTGAAATACATTGCCCAATTCAATTTCAGGAAACTTTTAGTTTCACGTGGCTTTATTTCTGCGGGACTCACAAATTCTATTCCCACAGGGGGAGGGGAGGACGAAGTTTTGCAAGAGCCTGGCAGCGTCTGTCGGAGGGAGGGACAGGGAGCGGAGCCTGCTCGGGGGCGGGAGCTGGTCAGAGGTTGTGGGACCCACAGAAAAGAAATCGAAGCAGTGGCCCAGGATGCTGGCGGGAGGCTGGGCAGGGCACGGCAGGCAGGGCAGAGGAGGAACGAGGGCAAGTCTCAGCTGCCGCGTGTCCGCTGCCTCCAGCCTGTGCGGGGCCCCCTCGCCCTCCGTGGTGGGACCGCCGCAGTGGCTTCCGCGTCCAATGCAGTGGACTCTGGCTGGGCAGGTTTCCCATGGCTGTGGGAAGGGGGTGGCTTGTCTCAGCTGTCAATCTTCTTTGGGAATAGCGCCCATGCCCAAGGAACCGTTGTGACGGCTGCCCTCCAGTGCACACATGCACATGCATACGCGTGTCCACACACTACACACGTATGAAATATAGACACACACACTGCAGCTCCTGTAGGCACACACAAACTTCACCACATCCCCATAACAACCCCGTGGAGCAGCTGTGCTCCTGTCTGCACTGGAGGGGAGGACCTTTCGGACGGGGCTGGGACCCCCATCTGCCTCCGGTCTCGCCCTGCCCTGACAGGTCACGGGCAGCTCGCTGTGTGGGCGCCCGGCGGGGCTGTGTCGTGTCTGTGAGATGAGATGAATGTCTCCGTCCCACGTGTTGATGGGTGCAACCACCCGGTGGCGGGCGAGGAGTGACGTGCTTACCTGGGAGGGGCTCTTGCCACGTCCCGGGTGCCGCTGTGCCTCCCACGGGGAACGGGCGCATGACCAGCCGCGGGGAAGTGTGAGCGTGCTCGGGCGCACCTTCCCCGTGGCGTGGCACACCTGCCAGCCCTGCTGCAAAGAAGACGGCCGACTGCCGCCTCACCCGGTTGTCCGTCTTGGAAGAGACCGAACAAGTGGCGGAGGTCACAGAGCGACGCCGGCCGGCAGCCTTGGGGCCGGGACCTGTCCCCGCCGTGACGCGCGCCCCGTTGTGTGTTGCAGGGAAGGTGGCCATCCAGAAGGAGGACCTGCAGAAGTACCACAACAGGGATACCTGGTTCCAGCTGCAGCACGTGGACGCGGACTCCGAGGTGCAGGTGAGGCCGGTGGCCAGGCCCAGAGGCGGGGACCCGGGGACAGAGGCCTTGAGGCGGGCGGGCTCGCCTGTGGCCACAGACACAGACATGGCTCATGGCATCGCAGGTGGTGAGCGTTCACCTGTTGGCACTCAGAGACAGGGTCTGGCCCCTCGAGGTGTCTGTTCCGTGGTTATTGCTCGGCCGGCTGGCCGGCCGTCCTCTGTGGGCCTCCGCGTCCTCGTGTGGAAAACGCCTGGTGCAGTGCCGTGTGGTGGCAGGATCTGCTGCTTTCACACCTGGTGGGTGATATCACAGGCAAAATCCCCCAAGGAGGCACCTTGCGAGGCCTCTGCCCGCAACTTCAGCGAGAGCGATTCTGCGGGGGCTGGGGGTGGAGGTGGTCCCAGGTCTGAGCGGGCAGCCTGGTGCCCTCCGGGAACCCTCGTCCTCCCCCACCCGTCCCCTGAGTCAGGGCTCCCTCTGTCGAGGTCGCAGCTGCCGGCCTGCCTGGGGCCACGACGGGCCGATCTGCAATGTGGCCTGAGCCCAGCCAGAGGGAGGCCAGGCCTCGCAGGAGTCTGGGAGCTTCGCCAGGGTATGCCTGGGGATGCACTGCCCCAAGGGACGCGTCCTGATTGCCCGGCTTGCTGAATTAACTCTGCCTCTAGGAGCATGTGGGCCGAGGGGCCCCGGGCGCTCTGGGAGCTCAAAGGTGCTGTAATTACAGCAGGACTGAGAACTGGCCTTGAAGCTGAGGGCAGGTCTGTGGAGCTGTGAACCAGCACCCCGGTCAGGGCTGCGCCGCCCACTGGTGGCTGGAAGCCACGTGCAGGCAGGCCAGGGTGCAGGTGCTGCCAGAGAGGAGCTTGTGCTGGGACCACCCGCCTTCCGTGTCCTGGGTCCCAGCGCGTCACCTCTGGACCAGCATGGCGGAGGCCCCCGTGTCAGAACGGTGAGCACCTGGGGGTGTGGGCTTGCCATTCCCCCGGACTTCAGCTCGACCTTCCTGCCGATGAAGCTTTTCCAGTTTCTTGACTTTGCTCTTTACCTCATTTAATTTTGAAATGGTTATAGATTCACAGGAAGTCACAAAAGTAGAACACAGGGGCATGACTGGCGTTCGTGGGCTCTCTCTCTGCACATAAATACACGCAGGAAGGGCCCGACCCGCTGCGTCTTCCCGATGGCTCCGTCTTGTGTAACTGGAATGGGTCACAGCTGGGGACACTGACGTTTGCCCACTACGCAGGGTTGCTTTGGATTTCACCATTTACATGCACACAGGTATGGCATGTGTATTCAGTGCAGTTTTCCCAGTTCTTTATTATGGTAAAAGGCATCCTAAGATTTACCATCTTAACTGCTCAGAATGCCCAGCTCAGTACAGAATTAAATACATTCGTAACTGTTGGGCGACCACACGACCATCTGTGTCCAGAACACCTTTCATCTTGCAGAGCGAACGGGAGCCCTGTCCCCGTGAGCGCTCACTGCCCACCCCTCCCAGTCCCTCCAGCCCCCACCCACTGCTCGTCCCCATGAGCCGGATGACTCAGGGGCCTGCTCTGAGTGACTCCACAGCAATCTGTCTTCTTCTGACGGGCTTGTTTCGCTCAGCATAGTGTCCTCAAGCGTCTCCCATGTTGTAGCGCGTGTCAGGATTTCCTTCCTTTTAAAGGCTGCGTGATAGTCCATTGTTTACCCATTTCTCTGTGGTAGACACTTGGGTTGCTTCCGCGTTTTGGCTGTTGAGGTGTTCTACACAACTTCCTAACGCGTGTGTGTGTGTGTGTGTGTACACGTGTGCACACACAGCATGTGTTGCTCATCCATTCGTCTTGATGGACACTTGGGTTGCTTCTGCATTTTGGCTGTTGAGGTGTTCTACATGACTTCCTCACCTGACGAATTGTGTCACTGCCACCATGGTCAAGATACAGACTTGTGTCTCCACAGAGCTGTCTGCATGACCATTGCGTGTCACCCTCGGCGATAGCGGAAGAGTTCATGGTGAGGTCGCGAGGCGGCTCTCAGGCCCGTGGTCGAGTGCCTCGTCCCCTCCTGTTGTCCAAGGCTGTGGCCCTCACGTGCCCGCTTCTGGACATGTAGAGTCCTGGAAGGCAGGCAAGCTGTCACCCAGAGGCCAGGAGGGCGAGCCGCGGGACCCTCTCTCACAGGGTCCAGGAGGCGCTGCGCCGACACTCTGCAGACCAGCCCGAGCGTCGCCTGTGTAACGTGGGGACAAGAGAGAGGCTCCCACCCTCAGACTGACCTTTAAAGTGCCGTGACCGTCGCCTCTGCAGCTGCCGCTGCCTTTTGAAATGTCACGTCGACAGTTTTTAGAAAGGCAGAGGGTGGCAATATGGTTTCTTGGCTCCGTCTGCTCTGAAATTCACAGAAAAAAGTCACCGTCAGGAAAGAAAGCACCAAAACAGGGCCAGTGCGAGAGACCCACGAGCCATGAAATGGGAAAAAGACAACCTAAACATGGTCTTGCTTCCTTCTGGGACTGGCGCTTCTTACCGTTTTCGGTGAGTCACTTTATTCTGCAGAATTCGTCTCCTGTGCCACCCTGTCTTGACACGGGCGATGTCAGCACGAGCCAGCGGGTGGGCTGCTCCTGGGATCGGACTCCAGGCTGACCACGGCTGTCCAGTGTGTCCCCGCAGGGGGGCCACAGTCCTTGTAGCGTCTGGTCCCCCGCCCTCCGCAGGGACCCTGCCGCCCGCCCTCCGGCCGCCTTCCATCCCCCGACCCTGTGCCATCCTTGCCCGACCTCCCTCCCAGGCTGCCCTCCCCTGCTCCCCTCGCCTCCCTGGCCTACCGGTTGCCGGTGGGCTCTCCAGCCTCTGACTAAACTGTTGTTCAAGGCATCACGTCAGCCTCTGACTAAACTGTTGTTCAAGGCATCACGTAACCAGAGACCCACGGGGACCTGTGACTCATCACAGCCGGCCCCCAGCGGCCGCCATCCACCCAGGGATCCCCCGCCACACTCCCCGCCGCTCAGTCCTCCGTTTGCACCTCGGGGCCAGCTGCTGGGGCCGCAATCCCAGCCTTCCCTGGAGTCTCTGGGAATGTCACGCTGTGTACGTCAGGCTCGCCGAATCCAAACAGGATTCGGCGAGTTGACAGGTGATCACCACGAAGGGCCCAGCGCTCCACCTTTCTAGGGTTTGTGGAGCCGCAGGGGGCCGGCGAGGCCGGGTCTCCCTCCCCTCTGGAGCTGCTCCTTGCCTCTGTCTCCTCCCTGGGCGGGGCGCGGCTGTCCTCTGCGACCCGAGGCGTCTCTGTCCTGCTCGCCTCGCGGCCCGGGGCCAGCTCGGGAGACGTGGCCGAAGGGTGGTGTGCATGGGGCAGGGCTGCGAACGTCCCTCTGCCAGCACCCTGCGGGTGCCCACGCCCACACCCCACACGGGGAAGCCTTCCTGAGAAAAATGGACAGGGCCACCGGGTGTTTTTTTCTTCGATCAATACACTTTTGGGGGAGCAGTTTTGTCTGCAGGAGCATTGAGCAGGGCGCAGTTTCCACACAGCCTCCTCCAGCCCGCCTGCTCCCTGTCCACGTCACACCTGATGGCCCCATGTTGGCACGCTGTTGACCGAGTCCATGGTATGCACCGAGGCCCTGTCTCTGCGTCTGTGGGTTTCGGCCAGCGCACGGCTTCCCGGACCCCAGCACAGCCTCACAGCAGGGGCAGGGCCAGGAGTGGGTAGCCTGGCTGGAGGTTCAGCAGTTTTGTTGGTCTTCTCCACAAAACCCGCTTTGGGCTTTACTTTTTCTCCATTGATTTCCTGTTTTGAGTTTCACGTATTTCTGATCTGATTGCCTTTCTTCTGCTTACCTTGGATTTAGTGTGCTCGTTTCTTCCAGATTCCACAGGTGGAAGTTGAGATGACTGTGTTTGGGTATCCAGCTCTGTTCTTTTTGCTTAGGATTGCTTTGGCTGTTCTGGCTCTTTTCGGTTCCATATGAATTTGGGGATTGTTTTTTCTAATTCTGTGAAAAATGACCTTGGTAGTTTAACAGGATCGCAGTCGATCTATGGATTACTTGGGGTAATATGTGCATCTTAACAAGGCTGATGCGTCTATTCCGTAAGCACGGGATGGTCCTCATCCGTTTGGGTCCCCTGCCATCTCTTTCATCGAGTTTTGTCGTTCTCCTTGTAGAGATCTTTTGCCTTCTGGGTTAAATATATTCCTAGGTATTTCAGCTTTCTGACTGCTATCGTAAATGAAATTAAGTTCTTGAGTTGACTCTCAGCTTGGTCACAATCGGTGTATAGCAGTGCTATTCATTTGTCAAGTCCAAGAGTCTTTTGGAGGTGTCTTCAGGATTCTCTACATATAGGATCATACTGGCATACAGAGATAGTTTGATTTCTTCTTTTCCAATTTGAATACCCTTTATTTCTTATTCTTGACTGATTGTTCTGGCTAGGACTGCCAGTACTATGTTGAGTAGGAGTGGTGAAAGTGGGCATCTTTGCCTTGTTCCAGTTCCGAGGGGGAATGTGTTCAACTTTTCTCTGCTCGAGATGACACTGGCTGTGGGTTTGTCTTATATAGCTTTTATTATTTTGAGGAATGTTCCCTCTATGCTTGTTGTGCTGAGGGTTTTTATTTTGAAGGGATGCTGGATTTTATCAAATGTTTTTTCTGCATCTATTGAAATGATGGTATGATTTTTGTTTTAAATTCTGTTTATGTGGTGGATCAGGTTTATTGACTTACGCATATTCAATCACCCTTGCATTCTGGGATAAAATCCACTTGGTCATGGTGTATTTTTTCATGTGCTGTTGAATTCTGTTTGCTAGTATTTGGTTGGGGATTTTTGTGTCTTTGTTCGTAAGGGATGTTGGTCTGTAGTTTTCTAGTTTTGTTTTGTCTTTTCCTGGCTTTGGCATCAGAGTGACACTGGCCTTATAGAATGAGTTAGGGAGGATTTCCTCCTCTTCACTCCTGTGGAATAGCTTTAGTAAAATTGGTACCAGTTCTCTGAAGGTCTGGTAGAATTCAGCTGCGAGTTCAGCAGGTCCTGGACTTTTTGTTGTTGTTGGAGACTCCAACTACTGTTTCAATCTCACTACTCACTATTGGTCAGCTCAGGTTTCTGATTCAAGTCTGGGGGGAGGGAGAATTTTTCCATTTCCTCTAGATTGTGTAGTTTGTTTGCATAAAGGTGTTCATAGTCGTCTTGGATATGATCTTTTGAATTTCTGTTGTATCAGTTGTAATGTCTCTTTTTCATTCTGATTGAGCTAATTTGCATCTTCTCTCTTCATTTCTTAATCTAGTTAGAGGTCCATCAATTTTGTTTATCTTTTCAAAGAATCAACTTTTTGTTTCATTGATCCTTTGCTTTTTCAAAAAGTTCAGTTTCATTTAGTTCTGCTCTGATCATTATTTCTTTTCTTCAGCTAGCTTTGGATTTGGTTGTTTGTGTTTTTCTAGTTCCCTGAGGTGTGCTGTTAGGTTGTCAGTGTGTGATCTTTCTGTCTTATTAATATAGGCCTTAATCGTTATAAATTTTCCTCTGAGCAGAACTTTGGCTGTGTCCCAGAGGTTTTGATGACATATTTCATTGTTGTTATTCGTTTCAAGGAATTTTGAAATTTCCATTTGGATTTCATTGCTGACCCAAGGATCATTCAGGAGAAAATTACTTAGCTACCATGACTTTATTTGGTTTTATGAATTCTTCTTGGAGTTAATTTCTAGTTTTATTCCACTGTGGTCTGAGATGGTGCTTGTTATGACTTCTATTTTTTTGAATTTATTGAGACTTGATTTGTGGCCTATCGTATGGTCTGTCTTAGGGAATGTTACATGTGCTGATGAAAAAAACACATATTTTGGGCTGGGTCGGTGGCTCAGCCTGTAATCCTAGCACTTTGGGAGGCCAAGGCGAATGGATTGCCTGAGCCTGCGACCAGCCCAGGTAGCTCGGCGAGACCTCATCTCTATAATAAATTTTTAAAAAAAATTAGCCAGGTGTGGTAGCATGCACCTGTATTTCCAGCTACTTGGAAGGCTGAGGTGAAGGATTGCTGGAGCCCGGCAGGTCAATGTTGGAGGGGCCATGAGCATGCCATTGCACTCCAGCCCGGGCAACGGAGTGAGACTCTAACTAAAATACACACACACACACACACACACACACACACACATATATATTCTGTAGTTTTAGGATGGAATGTTCTGTAGATGTCTGTTAATTCCCTTTGCCCTAGAGTCCTGTTTAACTCCAATGTTTATTTGCTGACTTTCTGCCTTGATGATCTATCGCTGTCAGTGGAGTGTTGAAGTCTCCCACTATTACTATACTATCTCTCTTTTTTTAGGTCTAGTGGAATTTGTTTTATAAAGCTGGGAGCTCTGGTGTTATTGTTATGTCCTCTCATTGAATTGATCTCTTTATCATTATTTAATAACTATCTTTGCCTTTTTTTTACTGTTGTCAATTTAAAGTCTGTTTTATCTGATTTGAGAATGACTACTCTGCTCATTTTTGGTTTCCATTTGTGTGGAATATTTTCCCCTGCTCCTTTGCCTGGAGACTATAGGAATCCTTGTGAGTTAAGTGGGTCTCTTAAAGGCAGCAGATAACTGGGTTGAGTTTTTTTAATCCACTCTGCTACTCTGTATCTTTTTAGTGGGTCATTGAGACCATTTATGTTCAGAGTGAATAATGACATGCAAGGTTCTGTTCTACTCATATACTGGTTGTTATCTAGTTGCTTGTTTATTTATTTTCTCTCTTGTGTTGGCATTCCACAAAGTCTGTGGACTTTATTATTTCCAGTGTTTTTCTACTGGTGTATTTCGACCTTTTGTCTCATTATTTAGAACTCCTTTAAATATTTCTTGTAGAGCCAGTCCAGTAGTGTCAAATCCCTCAGCATTTGCTTGTTTGCAAAGGACTTCATTTCTCCTTCATTTATGAAACTTAGTTTTGTTGACATTCATTCTGTTTGAGGAAATTGAAACTGGGGCCCCAATCCTTCTGGCTTGCAGGGTTTCTTCTGAGAAGTCTGCTGTCAGTCTGATAAGTTTACCTTTGTGAATTATGTGATGCTTTTGTCTCACTTCTCTTAAAATGATCGCCTTTTCACATTAGCTTTGCTTAGCTGGATGATTGTGTGCCTTGGGGATGTCCCTCTTACATTAATCTTCTGGGGGTTCTTTGAGCTTCTTGTATCTGGATGCTTAGATCTCTGGAAAGGCCAGGGAAGTTTCCTCAGTTATTCCCTCAAGTGAATTTTTCAAACTTGTTACTTTCTCTTCTTCCTCAGGAACACCTAGGATTCTTGGGTTTGGACGTTTTGCATAATCCCATTTTTCTTGGAGACTTAGTTCCAGTCGCTTGATTCTTATTTCTTTATCATTGTGTGATTGAGTTAATTCAAAAGCCTTGTCTTCAAGGTCTGAGATCTTTTCTTCTGGTTTTTCTAGTCTCCCTTTAAAACTTTCCACTGCAATTTTTACTTCCCTAAATGCTTTTTCTTTTTTATTTTATTTTATATTTTATTTTGAGAAAGCAGGATTTATTTTTTTCATTTTATTTTATTTTTCTAGTCGGAGTCTCACTCTGTCGCCCAGACTGGAGTGCAGTGGCCACTCCTGGCCACCGCAGCCTCAACCTGCTGGGCTCCGGTGATTCTTCCGCCTCAGCCTTCCCAGTAGCTGGAATTACAGGCCTGCGCTACCACGCCCGGCTGATTTTTTTATTTATTGTAGAGATGAGGTCTCGCTACCCAGGCGGGTCTCGAACCCGCGGGCTCAGGCAATCCACTCACCTCAGCCTCCCAAAGGCGTGGGATTACAGGCTGAGCCACCGAGCCCGGCTAGCAGGATTTATTAAGGCGACAGAAAGCTCCCACAGTGGAAGGGGACCCAAAGGGGTTGCCCTAAATACTTTCTTCATTTCCAGCATTTCAGCTTGTTTTGTGTATGTGTGTCTATCTTTCTCTTTGGAGAATTTTTCATACATGTCCTGAATAGTTTTTTTAATTTCTTGATGTTGATTTTCAGTTTTCTCCTGAAGTTCCTTGTCCAATTTTATCATCAAACTTTTGAATTCTGTGTCTGGAATTATTACTTTAACAATTAATGCAACAATTTAATTTTGGTTAGGGTTCGTTACTGGAGAGTTGGTGTGGTCTTTTGGGGTGTCGGAGAACTCTGTTTTTTCCTATTGTCAGAGTTATTTTTCTGGCTCCTTCTCTTTTGAGTAGACAATTTCTTCCTATCTGTGGTTGGCAGGGGGCTGACGTCGGCCCTATGGGGTTCCCTTGGTTATGTACAGCCTTGGTGCGGTGCGATTCTCACCTGCCAGCTGCGGCAGTCCTGTGCCGGTACCTGCACGGCCCCCGGCGTCCCGTGTGGCCGCTGTGGCTGGGATAGTGCTGGTGACTGGTGCTTGGGCTAACAGGGTCAGGCCTTCCCTGAGCCGAGATGTGGTGAGCTACATGGCAGCCGTAGTCTCCGGCCAGGGGGAGGCGCCAGTGGATGAAGGCCCCTGCAGGGGTGGCGGGGGGGGGATGGCTCCTCCTTGGTGAGTGTTGCTCTGAGGATGTGACTGGGGATCCCAGTCTTGTGTCCCTGTGGCACCGTCTGGGTTTGTGCAGGGACAGGCGCCCCGGCGCCCCAAGTGTGAGTTCTCAGCTCCCTCTCTGGGGAGGGGACCTCAGGCTGCAGGTGACCTGCTGTGCAGGGAGGCCCAGGAGCTGGGGGTGGGGCGAGGCCCGCCTTGGCCGCAGTCTGGGATCTGAGGGTCAAGGTCAGCGGGCAGGGCGGCCAGGAACTGTCAGCAGCTGCGGGTTTGCCCTGGGCCCTTCCTGTCCCACCTGCTGCCAGCTGCCCAACCTGTGAGGGTCGGGGTCCCAGGAAAGGGCGGCTGGCGTGGCTCAGGGCTCCTTTCCTGCACGTCTCCACGGCAGAGCCCGGCTGGGGAGGGGCTGGGGTCCCCACGGCCCAGGGACCCCGTGGTGTGTGGCAGGAGCTCAGACCCCCAGGTCCCGTCGCTCCCCTTGTCTGCAGCTGCACTGGACTGGGCAGGCAAGAGAGAGCCGGCCCATTCCGGCCCAGGTGGGTGCAGGCGTGGCCGAGCAGCCGTCTCAGTCACTGCCCTGGAGTCTGCCACGGAGCGCTGGAGAGTTGCCCCCCCCAGCCCCAGGCAGGACACACCCCGGTGGGCGCCCAGCGGCGGTGGCTCTGGCCTGGGTTGTTTCCGTGGCCCTGTGGGAGGCGCCCGCCGCCCCGCCTTGCAGGCCAGTCCCTTTCACGTGGGCACCGCAGGTGGAGCCTTCGGATCTGCAGGTGCTTAATCAACGTGGCCCTCGGCAGATGCAGGACCGAGGGTGTCCCCAGCCCTGTGATGCCATGTGGCTGCTGGTGCTGAGGTCCCTGTCTTAGCACCCGCCCCTGCCTGTCTGCCACTCTGTCTTCTCATGGGCGGGACAAGCCCCAGGGAGGGGCCTGGAGGATGAGCCCAGGGCTGGCAGGGTCTGGCGGCTGAGGCCAGGCACCGGCTCCTGGGCCTGGGTCTGCTTCCTGCCTGGGCCGGGGCTACCCCGCATGTTGTTGGGAGCCCAGGGGCGCGGGGGCCAATCCCCACAGCCTGGCCACCTCCCCTGGTGTGTCCCAGCACGTGGGCTGCCATGACAGCTCCATGCAGCTCCCCGTGAGGCGGGCGGGCCCCGGCCCTGGCCAGCAGCTTCATCTCTGAGCTCAGTGGTCCCTGGCCCCCAGGGTCCCGCCAGCAGGCAGGCTCGGTCTGCTCTGAGGGAGGGAGGCCCGGGGTGGGAAGTTGCCGGTCCTGTCTATGGCACCGTGCACTTGCCAAACCACACACCCGTGGGGAGGGGAGGGGAGGCCCTGGGAAGGAGGGCTGGGTGGCCTTGGTGTGCCCATGGGGACGAGCAGTGACACTTCTGGCAAGGTGGCATGGTGGCCTCGAGGTGTGCCCATGACAAGAGGTGACACCGTGGGCGGGAGGATGCGGTGGCCTCGAGGTGTGCCCGTGGGGACGAGAGGTGGCACCACGGGCGGGAGGATGCGGTGGCCTCGAGGTGTGCCTGTGGGGACGAGAGGTGGCACCACGGGCGAGAGGGTGCGGTGGCCTCGAGGTGTGCCCGTGGGGGGGCACCCCATGTGCCAGCCCCAAGCCCTGGCTCAGGTTCGCTTTCTGAAGGAGGGACTGGGCCTCTGGTTCTCGTTCCGAGGGCCTGCTCTAGCCCGGGTGTTCTCCACACCGCAGGGGCCATCAGTGCCCTTGTCTCCCCGACCCTCCCTCCCCTCTCGACTTAGTGATGCGGCCCCAGGCGGGGCTGAGCGCTTTCCGGGGGGTCTCCGAGGTCACGTCTGGGCCTGAGTGCAGCCAGGCAGAGAGACCGACGTGCTACGGAAACTGCGCCAGTGTCAGGCACCCGGGATCCAGCAGGCATGGCGGGACCTCCTGGTCCCTCCGTAAACACAGTGCCCGCCTGGTCGCATGGCCCCAGGTAGAGACTGAGCCCCAGGAGGGGAACCTGCTGGGGGGCGACAGAGCAGGCATCTCCCGGAGCTGCCCGGGAAGGTGGCAGTGCCCTGCGACCAGCAGCCATCACAGGCACCACATGCCGTTCTGAGATGCAGCAGGCCTGGGCAGCGGGTGAGGTCAGTGCCTGTGCCGTTTGCCAGTGGCTCTGGTCCCATTTCTTTTGAGACACGGCAGCATTTGGAGGGCTCTCCCCAAGCTGGAGAGTCAGAATATTTAGTCAGGACCTTGGCCGTGATCCAGTCCAGCCTCCTTTTTCTAGTTACAAAGTTTTAATTTTGACCCTATCCGTGTAGACAGCGTGTGTGACGTACGCATGACTCTGTGATTGTCTCGTCTCTTTTTCCAGGCTCCTCTGTCCCTTCTGGCATCCTGGGTGGGCCTGTACGTCCCGCCCACTCAGCACCCCCAGGCTGCGTGACCTTGAGCAAACTGCCACAGTCAGGTGGACACCTGGGGCAGCCTGGCTTGCAGGCCAGCCGCCTCGCTCCTGTCCTTCTGGAAGTGTCCGTGAGCCTGGCTTGCGTGAGCAGCACCCCGAGGTTCCCGGGGTCTCCCCCTGGGCCTCCCCTGCAGTGGGTGTAAGTGAGGGAAGGGTGCAGTCCCATCCGGGAGACAGCACCCCTTCCCTGGGCTCCACCCTGCTGCCCACCTGTGAGCTGTAGGGTGTCTGCCAGCGAGGTCCAGTCACATAAGTGGACATGTGAGCGGCTTAGCGCACACAGTGCCCCTGAGAGCAGCTTGGCAGAATAACCTTTCCTTCTTCATTTGGACACTCACTTCCGAGGCAGAGCACGTGCGGCTGGGCGTGGGGTCGCGTAGCCCTATTGTCTGCGTTTTCTGGAGAAAGGCCACGTGGCCCTGAGGCCAGGATTGCAGTGCGCGGGCCGTGCACGCCGGGCACCCCAGGGTTGGGTCGCCTTGCATCCGCGAGGCACTTGAGGCTGCGGCTATGCGTCCCGGCCACGTGTGGTCCCTCCCTTGGTGACACGCTGTCCTTGCACCTGCAGGGCAAGGTCCACCTGGAGCTGAGGCTGAGCGAGGTCATCACAGACACGGGCGTCGTCTGCCACAAGCTGGCCACACGGTAAGATACATCGCCCCGCCAGCGCCGCGTCTGCGTGCGTGACATGCCTGAGCCCAGAAGCACGGCCGGGTGCTTTAAAGAGACATTTCGAATTTTCGGGCTCAGTTGTGTTGTTTTTAGGAGTTCTGTCTCATTTTTCAGACATCCTCAATAAAGCAGATGCCCACCCCGAGACGGGGTGTTTGGGGCTTTTGCACACAGCCAGCGCTCGGGGCTCCATGAAGCCAGGAGTGGGTGTGGCTTCCGGGCCTTAGCGACGAGGAGGCCGAGTCAGAGGGCTTGAACTCAGGCCTCCCCCCGGGCCCAGGGAGCTTTCTAGCTGGGATGCATGGGGTGTGTGTGTGTGTGTGTGAGTGGGAGTGTGTGGACGTATGTGTGTGTGTGAGGCGTGAGGCGTGTACTTGTGTTTGACGTTAGCCTGGCACTGCACAGCAGGGCTCTGTACGTGGGGTGGGGGGACGGGAACCCCTTTCGTCTGCAGGAAGCCAGGCCTCCAGAAGGCGTGCAGATGTGCACACACTACTTTGCTCACCTGCTGAAAACCAGCCCAGCCGTGGGCCTTGGAGGACACGCCCAGCTGAGATCTGTCCTCAAGCCGTGCCCTGATGCACCGGCAGGCTGTAGGGTCCCTCCTCTGGCCTTCCCGCGTGGGCTTCTTCCCCACCCCGCCAGCCCTTTCAGAAAGGCCACCCTCTCCTCTGTCCCCGTCCCGAAGAAACGGTCAAAGGCTCAGGCGCTCTTCACCTGGGCCGAGATCGGTCGCCAGATTCATGACCAGAAATGCTCTTCCCCTGCCGCGAGATTCACAGGGACTCAGGCTCGGGCTTGGCGCACCGCCCTCCGGCCCCTGCAGGCCGGAGGAGGCTGGGGGGCCCCTTCTCTGCTGCCCCCGGGGTCCCTGCACTGCGGCCCTCAGCGCTGCCTTGAGACTGTCCAGCCTGATGGCTGAGGACGGCCCGGGGTCCGTCCAGGCTGCTGGGCTGTGGCAGTGGCTCACGCACCAGGCCGAGTCGCAGCTGGGAACTCGGGAGTGGAGCAGGCCCGGCGCGTGGGGCGAGGCTCACCGGTGCTCTTCCACGAAAGCATTCGCCACCATCGGGTCCAGCAGCAGGGAGAGGAGACTCGCCACCGGTGTTTTTTAAAGGCTGACGCCCTTGTTCGAAAGGCGCAGGAGGCCGGTTCATATGAGCCTCGCAAGGAACAAGACTGTGAGCTCTCAGCCAGGGGAAAGAAGGAGAGCCAGGCAGCACCCACGAGCCCCGAGGGCGCCGGAGAGCCAGGGGAATCATCCGGATGTGGCAACAGCCCTCGCCCCCAGAGACCGGAAAGGTCACGGAGGGCAGGACCAGCCGTGCCGGCGCAAGGGCGGCTCCTGCCTGTGGCTGCTCCAGGGCCAAGGACACGGTGCTCACACCTCCGCCTGGGAGCAGGTTTTAGGCAGAACGGGTAGCTAGACATCTTCCCAGACATCTGCATATGTGCGTTTCTCATGGGTTTGGGCTGATGTTCTCTGCTGGGTGTGTGGCATGTCCCCCCAGTGCCGGAGGGGCGGGTTGTAAGGTGCTGACTGCCACCTTGAGTGGGCAGGGCGGCGCTGCCCAGGGAGCAGTGAAGGTCCCATCCTGCCTCTCAGCATTTACTACATTGGTTGCAAAAATACACTGGGGGCTGGCCCCGTGCCAGTGAGGCCACTGAGTCCACGATGGTGCCAGCGTCGGGGGAGTACAGGTCTCCCAGCTGGGAGGAAAGAAGAGGACCGGACAGCTGGAGCAGGGCGGCCACAAGTGCGCCAGCACCGCCTCGTGCCAAGGCTGCGAGTGGAAGCTAGGACCCAGTGGGGTGGGAGCAGTTCAGGAAGGGTCAGGGGAGACTGGTTCGTGTGCTCAGTGACTCCCTGCACAGTGCTCACAGCTGCACCTTCCACCTTTAGCGCCCTTAGAATCCCTCAGGAGTTTAGAGAACGTGCAGGTGCCCTGGCTTGCCTTGGATACCCGAGCGGCCGCTGAGGACACTGGCCATGCAGCCCTGCACGCTTGCTGCTGGCTGACTGTCCCGCCTTGGGGACGCCACCCAGAAACAACCTGTTTTCCAGCCAAGCCCAATAAAGATCCCAAGCCCAATAAATATGTTACTTTTCATTATTAGGAAATTGCAAACAGAAAAAGAAACTGAGGGCATATTTATCCTTGGCTCCCTCCTGAGGGCAGGAATCCCTCCAAAGCCAGCCCTGAGGAGAGGACACCTGGGGGAGGTGTGAGCCAGCGGCTACCTCTTCCTGGGGCAGGAAGCCCTCCAAGCCCAGCCCTGGGGATTGGATGACCCCAGGTGTGACCGTGGCTGGCCTCGTCCACAGCCCAGGCCGTGTTGAGACAGCTTTGGGTCCTGGGAGGCACCTGCTCCTGGGGGCGGCGAGCGAAGGCGCCAGCACGTGGCCAAGTGGAGGGAAGGGAGGAGAAGCGGATGGGATTTTCTGGCCGGGGTTGTCGCTCGAGGCACAGCTGTGTCGGAGGCTGAACCGTCGAGGCCCACAGATGCCAGGGTGAGACACTGTGCTTCTTCCTGTGCATCAAGCTCCACGCAAGCCAGCTTATGGGTCCCTTGGGGTCTCGAGCCCCTCTGGGCACGAGGTGGTTCCTGAGGATGGCCGGTGCGGCGTCCTCCTGTCCTTCCGTGCCTGGGATTCGCGTCTGTTCCTGGAGTTCGTCCTGTGTAGGATTGGCCCTAGGCAGGTGTGTCTGTGGAAATATGCCTGTATTAAAGCAAGGCGTGTGCTTTCCGTCATCTCGGGCAGCCTCTGAGGGAGTGAGTCCCTAGACCCTGAGGGTGTGCAGCCCCCATGAGTGTGTGTCCCAAGGTCCCGAGGTTGTGTAACCCTGATGCGTGTCCATCCCCAATCCCCAAGAATGTGCAGCTCCCATGAGCATGTGACCCAACCCCCGGGGCCGTGCAGCCCTGTGGGCGTGTGTCCCCAGCCTCCAAGGTCGTGCAGCCGTGCCACCGAGGACCCTGCCGTGAGGGGGAGAGGCCAGCGCCGTTCTTCTCGGAGTCGGTGCATCCTGCACGCTGTGGTGGGAACACTGATGCTCCTTTTGCTCTCGGGTGTCTTTATGTAACCACAGCCAGAAGCCTGTCTCTGCCTCGAATGAGAGAGGAGCGCGTTTTCCGGATGGTCCTCGCGAGTAGGAGTGAGGGACGCACTCACGCGTCCCCCAGACGCCCGCCAGAGGCTGCCTCGCCTCTCGGAAGTGAGGCGTGGAGAGACTGCCTCCGGTACATGCCACGGTGCTGTCCAAGTGTGTGAGCTCATTGTTGCTGGAGCGTCTCCGCTGTGAGCCATTCTGAGCCTTTCACAGTCACCCATCAACAGAGCTCATCTGCATTCAGCTCAGAACCTTGGTTCAGCTGGAACGCACAGACCTCTCCAGGCCCAGGTGGCCCTTGCCTGCCTCATGGTCCCATCTGGAGCCGCCCCTTCGAGGGAAGACCCCTTGTCCTTGAGACCTCGCCTGGAGGAAAGGGCTGGCCACCGCCAGTGTTTCTCTGTCATCTAGTTTATTTCCTTCCTTGGCATACCACGCATGACACTTCTGCCACTTCTCGTCTCACTGTTTTGTTGCTGAGCCGGCCACGTCAGCGTGAGCTTCGGGGCTGCTCTCTCTCCCTCCAGCTCTGTTCCTGCTCCCTGAACGTGCCGGAACAGTGCCCAGAGCTGGACAGAAGTTGCATTAATGATGAGCAGATATGTGTTTGGTGGGCACACTGAGGGAGGAAGACAACCAAAGACCAAGTAAATAATCTGGGAGGAGAACAGAAATATTCCAGAGAACAGAGGAAAAAGAGGAACAATGGAAAAAGCCTGGGTCAAGCTAATAGAAATAGTAGATCGATCCACGACGCTCACCCTTATCTAGCAGGAGCTCTGAAAGAACAACATGCACAGGGGGAGAGGCAGGGCATCCAAGGAAGCTCCCGGCAGAGCGTGGCACGGCCACCGCCCCAGACGTGTGGAAGAGGAGGGCACCCACGTCCCTCACGGGGAGACGTCCTGTGGGCTCTCAGAGCCCCACATATAAAGGAGGAGCCCGGCGTGCTCATGAGAACGGCGGCCAGAGAGGGAGGGGAGGGCCTGGTGTCCTCCAGCTCCCAGCAGCCGCGAGAAAATGGAATGTCCAGCGGCTGGAGGGGGCACGATGAGGCGTCTGTGTCCCCAAACCGACTCAGAGGCCGGGCTGGGACTCTACTTCTGACGGCCATGAGACGAGAGGCTGGATTCACTCTCGCCCTCGAACGACTGAAAAGCTGAACACGCAGTCACACATGCTCCTTCAGACATGGGACAGTTGTGGGAGGGAAGCCAACAGGTCTCCCCCCCCACGGGATGCCAACAGGGCGCGCCTCCCATGGCCCTGCTCCAGCCTGGAGTGGGTTCTCGGCACAGAGCCCGGGCGGTGGGGAGGGGCAGAGCCTGGCCGGTGACCCGGAGCCAGAGGCCGGGGTTCAGGGAGTCTGAGGCGCCAGGGTGAGTCTGAGGAGGGGCGCCCTGCTGAACTCCACGTGTCTGCTGAGTTCCGAGGCGCCTGCTGGTGCAGCGTGGTATGCCACAGGCTCTGGCAGGGGAGCTTTGGGGACTGGCTCTGCGGCGCTCACGGGGACTGGGAGCTCTGGGAGCCTCCCCAGCCCGGTGCAGAGCCCTGCGGTCTCTCAGGGCCGGCGCCACGCCCCGCCTTCATGTTGGGGCCAAGGTGTCCCTAGGTCCCCTGAGAAAGCTTCGACAAGAGTTGAAACTGACAACAGAAGAATTCCAAGTTCCGCCCGATGCAGGCCTGAAGAGGGTTATTCTGAGCCCCTGGGAGTGGCCCAGGCCTGAGACGCAGCCCCAAGAGGTCCTGAGAGCCTCCAAGGTGGCTGGCCTGCAGCCTGGCCACATCCCTCTCGAAGAGGTTTCAGCAACCGTGATCCACACCCGTGCGAGTCACGCTGACTCAGCCAGAAAGGCAGACCCTTTCCACGCAGAGGCTGCGGTCACGGGGGCCTCGGAGGTTTCCTGGTCGGCAGTTAGTCGTGGGGGCCAGGCTCTGTCTGAGGAATTTTGCTGTCAGTGAAGGAAACGCAGACGGGAGATGAGGAGCCCAGTTCCTGGACGTGTGGAGGAAGCTCCAGAGGTGGCAGCCCTGAGCGGGAATACGCGGAAAATGCCCGGCGCCTCTGGGGAGCCCGGGGAAAGGCACTCCACACAGGCAGATGCCGCCAGGAGACGCGCCTGGCTTCCTTCTCCAGCTGTGATGTGACGTTCTGCCTGAATCAGTTGACAATACACAGGGTCAATAAAAACCCATCTTATGGCTTACGGGGTGACCTCCCGGGCCCTTTCATTAGGAATTTGGGCAAGAGAAGAGGGGAAAGGGCCCTCAGAAGGATCATCCCAAACCCAAGAACCTCGACAGCATCCGAGAACAAAACCCGGCAGCCTCGTGCCTTCCAGGACCACAGAACCTGGACACTCTCGTGAGTTCACAGCGCCCAGCAGCCACTCAAAACCTGGCAGGCCAAGAAGCAGGCAGAGACGACCCATGACCTGGGGGAAAAGCATCCCTGGAAACAGACCCAGGGATGACAGAGGCAATGGGATCGGCCGACAAGGACGTTGAAGTAGCCAGTGCTACTGTGCCAGGACCTAGGGAAAGCCACGAGCCACCGCAGTGGTCCTCTGCCCGCAGGTGGGAGCAGGAGAGCGAGGAGACTCGTGGAGTGTGACATGGCGCCTCCCGGCTGGAAGGCCTGTGTGGTGTGGTGGGTGGGCGGGTGCAGGCTGTGGCGTTCGTCCGTCGGCTGTGCACGCCCTTGACGGGTTGCAGCCTTGGCGTCTCCCTCTGTGCCTTGGAATCAGAAGTTGCCCTTGCCGCTCAAGCCTGCCGGGCATGGTGGCCGGTGTGGGCGCCCAGACACCGTCTGGCCCATGGGAAGCGCACGACCTGCTGCCCTCCGGGGAGGGTCCAGGCCCATGCGTCCCGGAGGTCACAAGGTGAAGCCGCCCCCTTCCGGAGCCATCGGCCCTCGACACAACATGGCACGCCCCACCCTTCCCTCCCCAGACGTCCACGAGTGTTTTCCGACATGTCCGGTACCGCTCGGTGGACAGAGCCCCCAGGTGGCTGGCACAAGACAGCATCCACCCCGAGCCCTGAGACCGCAGACAAAGCCAAGGGCTGTCTGCGCTCTCTCCGGCACTGTTGAGTGCTTTCTCACTGTGAAGTCCAGGGCCTTCTCACCGCAAATAGGCCCGGCTTGCCCGGGGCCTGCTCTCCCTGCCAACCGCTGCCCTCTGCTCTCTCCTCAGCGTCATCGAGTGCCAAGGCCTCCCCATCGTGAACGGGCAGTGCGACCCGTACGCCACCGTGACGTTGGCAGGACCGTTCAGGCAAGTCCCCTCCCCGGTGGGCCGGGTTCCGGGCCTGCGGGCGGGGCGGGCCCCGCGCGAGAGGACAGGCTTTGGGGGGAACGTGCTTGTCACTTCCTCTCGTTTCCTTCATGGCTCTAAAACTGCCTTGTAAAAAAGGGAGCTCTTGTGTTCTTCACCCGGGGTATTTTTGGCTCCATAAAGGTTCCTGATTTGCATACCGCTGGGTTGGAGACACCCAGAAATGTTGTAAGATAAACAGAGGCAGTAAGTCCCTTGTGCGTGTGGGGGCTCAGCTTTCAGGCGAGAGAGCTGGGGGCGACAGATCTTGCTGCAACCCTCCCCGTTCCTCTCTTGATCGCAGGTCAGAAGCGAGGAAGACTAAAGTGAAGAAGAAGACCAACAACCCCCAGTTTGACGAGGTGTTCTATTTTGAGGTTGGTGGCTGGCGAATGAGTGTCCGTTGCACCCCGCACCCAGGACACGAGGGCAGAAAGTCTGGGGGCAGCTCCAATCCGCCCCTCAGGAGGTTCTGGGAGCTTCGGCCTCGGCCATCCCGGCGGGCGGGGCTCGCTGACTCCCTGGGACTGTCCGCCTCTCCCTGGAGAGGAAGGCCGGGGGCTGCCTCCCAGCTGGCCCGGACGGGGGCTGGAAGCTGACAAATGCGTGCCTAATAAGTCACTTACCAGGACGGGGGCTTTTCGTTGTTTATTTGGTTTGGGGTTTTTTGCTTTTCTGGCTGCTCCACCCAAGCTTCCCAGAGTGGGTGGGAGGCGTGTTTCGCCGGAAATTGTGAGGGTTTGAAGCAAATGATTCAGACACAGAGATGCTCTCAGAACGTGAAACACCAAAATTAGCAGCACGGAGGGTGCCAGGCCCGCAGGGCAGCACATGAAATGTGGCCAGGCGAGTGTGGGACCGCTTGGGCAGTGCTCAGGCAGCTGTGCCTCCCGCCTCATGTCCCCTGGGTGCTGGCGAGTGCCAGGCCCGGGGAGGGAGCCCGGGGGGCTCCAGCCCCGTCCTCAGGAGCTTGCTGCGGAGTGGTGCAGTGGGTGCTAGGAGGACCTGCAACGCAGCTTCGGGGACAGGGACACGACCCGTCGTGCCAGGGGGAGCCGGGTGGGCCCCCCAGAGCCTGGGCACCTGGGCAGAGTGTGGGGCGGGGCCCCCTCTGGCGTGGGCACGTGTGCTGCGTGTCAGGAGGCTGCGGGGGAGCAAGTTAGGCACACGCATGTGCGGCTTGTCGGGAGGCTGTGGGGGAGTAGATTAGGTGGGGGCACACATGTGTACAGCGTGTCGGGAGGCTGCAAGGAGCAGGTTAGACTGGGCACACACGTGTGCAGCGTGTCTTGAGACTGGGGAACAGACCAGACAGGCACACACGTGTGCCGCGTGTCAGGAGTCTGCAGGGGAACAGGTTACATGGAGCACACGTGTGTGCAGCGTGTCAGGAGGCTGCAGGGAGCCAGTTAGACGGGGCCCGCACGCGTGCCTCGTGCCCAGGAGGCCGCGGGGGTGCAGGCCGAGCGGGATGCTTGGCTCTGAGGCCCGCAGGGCCGTGAGCTGGGGAGGCCGGCCGGCCCTGGGGCAGCGTGAGGGGACGCAGCAGGATGGCCGTCCCCCCCTGGTGTGACCCTCACTTTAAGTCCAGCAGAGGAGCCAGGGCCGCGTGTCCCGCCGGCCACGGGGGCCCAGAGGCTGGGCGGGCTCCTAGGAGGAAGACGCACGAAGCTGCCGCCCGGAGTGTGGAGGCCCCGCGGCAGGCGCTCCGTGTCGGGTCAGGCCGGTGGCCCTCCATGTGCACTTTTAACGCACGTGGCCCAGAGGGGAGGCACGGCGGCCCACCTCCTCCTCGCCCGCTCCGTGTGGTCTCTGCCTCGCTTGGCAAAGGCGGGGCTCAGCCTGCTCGACTCAGTGAGCGACTTGCGGACACGTGGGAAAGCCGGGTCTGGACGGCCGCCCCCGGGAGGCCTGGACCTGGCCCGGCCTGGTGGGGGCCCGCCGGCACCAGCCTCGCTGGCCTGGCTGTTGGAGCCCGCGCCCTCTGACTCGATGCCTCCGCCGCGCGCGGCAGCCACGACCTCTCCCTGGGCTCCCCTCCGTCCTTCTGGCCTGCTGGTTCTGACGCAGCCCGGCCCGGCGGAGAGAGCGAGCGCGGCCTGGGCTGTGGGTGGGCGCATGCCACAGGCAGCCCCAGAAGAGCGGACGCTCCGCTTCCACCAGAGCCGCTCCCAGGCCGTTTTCTTCCGGGATTGCAGCTGGACTCATCTAAAACCCCTGAGTATCCACGCGAAAGGGCTTCTGACTCTGTAAGAGCCTGCCCGTCCACTGCACAGATGTACTGGTGCTCGGCTGGTCATAAGATGGGGAAGAAAAGAGACCAGGCCTGCGCTTGGTGTGGGCCCATGTGGGCGGTGACCCTGGGCAGACGAGCCCACGTGAAGGCACCGTGACGGTGCCGTGGAGAGGGCGTGAGGTGGGGAGCCGGGCCTTCCCGGAGGAGGTGGCGTTGCAGAGATACCCGTACAGAGGAGGAGCCAGGCGTGGGACTGTGGCCCGAGCTGGGAGCTGCCAAGAGGTGCCGGGAGCTGCTGGGCGGGGCCGCAGGGGCTGCTCCCCGGTCTGGGGCGGGAAGCGAGTGGCCCAGGAGTTCCGTGAGGAGGCAGGTGGGGCTGGAGGCCTGGGGAGGAGGCTGCAGCCGGAGATACGGTCGCCCGAGGAGCCTCCGGGCTGAGCCGGGATGAGGGACGGCCCAGGTGGCTCTGGCTTTGGCTTGGAGGCAGAGTGGCCGGGACTGACGGGGCGTGGTGTAGCAGGGCGGCTGGGAGGCCAACCTGGGGACGGGGCGTGCGGGGGAGGGAGGCGTCCCCAGCCCTCCCCCGACAGAGCACTGCCCTGCCATGGGCTGGCGTTTGCTCGTTTCCCCGTAGAAAGCCAGCGCTCGCGATCAGGCAGTTTAAGCAGCGTGGCCTCGTGTCAGATTCAGGATCAGAACCCAGGCCCTCACCCATCCCCCTACCGACCCCTCGAGGAGGGAAGCGGGAGGCCAGGCAGAGGGAGGCCTCGCGCAGGACGGGCAGTGGCTGCAGTGGAGCTGGGAGTCGTGATGCTCGGCGGCCTCCGAGCCCACGGGGTGCATCTCGCTCTGTTGCCGGCCGCCGGCCTGGGGCGTCCCGGTCCCACGTGTGGCTCAAGGTCCCTCCTTCGTGCCTCCGCTCCTTTTTGATTTTTAAAGAACTCAGCTCGGTGGCTCAGCCTGTCATCCTGCGCCTTTGGGAGGCTGAGGTGAGTGGATCGCCTGAGCCCGCGGGTTCGAGACCCGCTTGGGCGGCAAGACCTTGTCTCTACAATAAATCAAAAAATCAGCCGGGCGTGGTAGCGCGCGCCTGTAATTTCGGCTACTCGGAAGGCAGAGACAGAAGGATCGCCGGAGCCCAGCAGGTCGAGGCTGCGGTGGCCAGGAACGGCCACTGCTCTCCAGTCTGGGTGACAGAGTGAGACTCCAACTCAAAAAAATAAAAATTAAAAAAAATTTTAAAAAAAGAACTCAGGACCCTAAACCGTCAGGAGAGTAGCAGGTCCCTGACTGCCCCATTTTAACCCCTTCCCCAAGGCTGCTGGGCAGGCCTCACCCCCGGTGCGGGGTCCTCCCACCTGCCTACGAGGCAGGGCTTCATACTGAGAAAGGAAACCGCAGACACTCCAGGAGCTGAGCTTGACGTGCAGTGGCTGCCTCTGTCCGGCCATCACTGCTGTGTGCGTCGGGAGCAAGAATGGGGACCCACCGGGCAGAGAGGCCCGTCCCGGGGTGTCTGTGGTTCGAGGCGCGGTCCCGGAACCCTGTGGCCGGCGTCCTGCCCGTGAATCCCTGGGACTCAGCCTGTGGCTGTGTGTGGCTGGGGGCAGGTTCCCGCCCAAGCGGCCCTGGGGTCTGTCCCCTTCAGGGTGCTGAGTGGAAGGTGCTGGAAGGCCCAGCCATCAGGAAACCAGGCCCACCTCCAAATCCTGCCTGGTGGCAGCCGTTCTCGAGGGCGGGTGGCATGGCCCCTTCCAGGACAGGAGGGCGCAGTGTGAGCCCAGCCTGAGCCCCTGTCACGCATGAGCCAGCCCCGGGTCCCTCTCAGGTGACTCCAACCCTGAGCCCTTGTCTCCTGTGAGCCCGGCCCTGGGCCCCTGTCACGTATGAGCCAGCCCCGGGTCCCTGTCTCGTGTGAGTCTGGCTCCAGGCTCCTGTCCCATGTGAGCCTGGCCCTGATCCTCGTCACGTGCGAGCCAGCCCCGGGTCTCTGTCACGTGTGATCCCGGCCCCGAGCCCCAGTCTCACGTGAGCCCAGCCCCGAGCCCCTGTCACGTGCGAGCCAGGCCCGGGTCCCTGTCACCCATGAACCTGGCCCAAGACACGGTCTCACGTGAGTCCAGGCCTGAGCCCTTGTCTCACACGAGCCCACCCTGGGCCTCTGTCACGTGTGAGCCCGGTCCAAGCTCCATCCTGCGGGGCTCAGTGCCTGTCTCCCGTCTGGCTCTAGGTGACCAGGCCCTGCAGCTACAGCAAGAAGTCGCACTTTGACTTTGAGGAGGAAGACGTGGACAAACTCGAAGTCAGGTGAGAAACCAGGCGTGGCCGCCTGCTTGCCAGTGTTCGCCTCAGCTCGCCTCTTTTGTTTGACTGTTGCTTCCAAAGGCGCCAGCGAGGAGAGAGGTGGGGACCTCAGCGGCGCACTGTGGCTGCAGTGAGGGCCTTTGTCGTAAACGTGCTGGATGCCCGGGGGGTGGGAAGACACTTCACAAGTGACGCCCGCCCGTGCTTTTACGGCCCACCCTGTGCTGTCTTCTAAGAGGGACGGTCGGGAGAGTCAGTCCTCGGAGCCTGGAAGGTTCCGTTCGCCAGACACTTCCGGCTGGCGGTGGTCCCAGGCACTTTGAGTCGTGTTCCAGGTCTGCTGTGCACAGTCTGCACCCTCACCCCCCAGGTTACAGGACCTGGAGGGTCTCAGCACCCATCCCTGGCTGAGCGGGACCCCTCAAGGCACCCTGGGCTCCGCCTCCTCCAGGCTCAGGCCCTCGAGGGGCTCCTGTCCCAACTGGAAGGTGCTAAGCACCAACTCCCGTAGGATACTCCTGTGTGACCCTAGTTTATTTTTCCAGCTCGGCTCGCACATGTTCTTCCTCACGTGTCCGCCTGTGCCCCGTCCTCCTTCCGTGGCATCCCAGGGCCCCTGAGGAAATGGGGCTGACATGTGGGTTGCTTAGGAGCGCGCATGTTCTCATACTCAGAGTTCGAAGGACCAGAGGAGGAGACGAGCCAGTTCAGTCCATTTCTAGAAAGTTCCATGGTCCTGTGGACGCAGAGCTTTGGGGGAGGGGGGCCACAAGCATCTCCTTCCTGGGCCCCGCTGGGCTCCTGCTCGCAATGAAAGCAAGCCGGGGATTCCTCTTTGCCTTCCTTCTGCACCCACAAGTGCTCTGTCACTGGAGGGTCAGAGGCAGACCCCGCTGGCTTCCACATCGTGCAGAAAGAAAGGGGCGTGCAGGAACTGCAGAGGCATTTCCCTCCGAAGCACGTCCGTGGCTGAGCCTGCGACACACTTGCGCTCATCTGGGTCGTTTCGGGGATGCGCTGGCCGTCCGACGGCGGTCCCGCTCCCTTTCCAGGGCGGCCCACCGAGTGCCTCTCCCCGCCTGCCCGAGAAGCTCAGGGTCAGGGGAGAGTCACCACACATGGCCCGGCCCTGCCGTGAGGGCCCACCTCGGTCTCTCACTGAAGTCTGAGAACTTCAGGGGTTTTTCCGGAGTGTGCAGGGTCTGAGCCTGCTCCCTGTAGGGTTGGGTGTCCCGGGGAGCGAGAGGCTCCACTAGAAACTCCACAGGCACGCGGTTGGGGGCCACCCTGGCGCCTCACTTCACTGTGAGCCTGTGGGCGCCACCCAGCCCCGCGTCCCTTCCCTCCTCACCGCCCTTCCTGAGGGAGCGTCCTCTCCGGACTCTCTTGCTTTGAGAAAAGTTTTTAAGTGTTTCCAGCTTAAACCTTCCCTCCCAGGGCTTCCGAATTCTGAGTTGGAGGCGCCATGGCCCTGTCTAGGTGCCTGAGGGAGCCCTGTGGACTGTCCTCCGCCCTCGAACTCCCAGGTTCCTCTTTGTCTTGTGAAGAGGAGGAAGCGATGTTGTTGGTTTCTTTCCAGATGGAGCTGTGAATTCAAGAGTGAAGTCCTAGTTTTAAACTTTTTTGAGGGCATACAAAAATGCTTTAAACATTTCTCGTGTTAAAAGCAAAAAGCGCCTGTTTCTCAAGTGTGGACGGGCAGATCACAGAACCCGACTCGTGTCTCCTGGGGGACATCGGCTCCTGTCTGTGACCCTCTGACCACCCCCACACACGTTTCCTGATGTGCACCCATCCCGGGGGAGCGTCCGTTCTACCATGCAACTGCACTCACTGGGACTTGCAGGGGCCACAGAGCAGTCCCTCTTCTAGAATCTTCCCTTCCCACCTCGACGTCCAGACTGCCACGGCGTGGCCTGCCCTGCCTGCGGGGTTTCCAGCCCAAGGCCGAGGCTGTGAAGCATGACTGGTATGCCAGCCTGTGGTTGCACCCCCAGCTGCGTGCGCCCGTCCGTCCGTCAGATGCAGTCCCACTGCCCGGATCTGAGGGAACGTGAGCGTTGCATGCTGGGAAGCCAGATCAGGGAGCGGCCTGCGCCTCCAACAGCCGGATGCTCCACATGCTGGGGCTGGATGCGCAGAGGTTCTGAACGCATGCTCGGTGTGCGGCCACGCGTGACCCTGCCGTGCGCCTTCCGCGGGTGTGGCTGGCCCCGGGGTCGTGATTCCTGTGGGTGGAGAGCGAGGGCTGGCAGGAGACAGCCAGCCTCGCCGAGCCATCTCACGCGCAGCCTCGCCGCCGGGTCAGGTGCTGTCCTCACCCGCGAGCTGGGCCCTGCAGCTCGAGGCGGCCAGTCTGGGCGCTGGGCAGCACGCGGCCGCCCGCAGAACCTGGTGGCTGGGCTCGCCCGTGGAGGGGGCGGCCACAGCTGCTCCTGGGCCTCACTTGTCCTGGGCAAAGGGGGCAGACGGGCTGGAGCAGGAGGAGCTGTCGGGCTGCCCCTGAGTTTCACAGCATGGTTAGCGTACACACGATGAGACCTATTTCGCAAAGCATTTTTATGATGGAGTTTAGAAAAATGAGAGCGATCGAAAACGAGTGGAAAATTTGCCTTGTTTTGGGGCAACTGATCTATCGATGTCTCGTTCGACGGACAGGGACGCGGTTCCAGTGAGTTCGCAAGGTGCTCAGGGTCAGAAAGTTGGTTCAAATCGTGCTCTAGGTGTGAGCTCCGTATTAAAAACAGCGGCCCACAAAGGTACGGGCTGCCAGAAAGCGAGGTCACAAGGGCGGCGTGATTGCGAACTTCAAGAATGGAGCTGCACGTGGGGCCGTGAAGGAAATAATGCTGAAAACACGAGATGCTAAAAGACTTTGTGGGGCTGCATCGCTGCCTGTCCTGGCTGGATGTGGGTTAGACGTGCCTGGTCTAGAACCTCGCCGAGACTTGCCGTGGCGTATTTAAACACGTATGGTTGAGACCTTCACTGAGGCTCCCTGTGGAGGAGCGAGGGCTCCAGGTTTCGCGGGCCTGTGGCCCTGCTTGCCGTCCTCCCTTCTGGGGCCGGACTGTGCCCCGCTGTCTTTGCAGAGTGGACCTCTGGAATGCCAGCAACCTCAAGTTCGGAGACGAGTTCCTGGGAGAGCTGCGGATCCCGCTGATGGTCCTGCGGCAGTCCAGCTCCCACGAGGCGTGGTAAGGAGGTGGCGCCCGCAGACCGCGGCGTCTCTGTGGGGCCCAGTGGTCTCTCGCTTTGCACGTGGTGCCAGCTGGCTCTCGGGGCGGAGGTGAGGGGAGGCATCAGGTGGCCACCGAGTGCGGTGACAGGCAGTGCCAGAGCCTTGGGATGGAGAAGCGGGAGCAAGGATGACGGCAGCCTCAAGTGGAATATGCCCTGGGGGCAGACACGGGGCCAAGCAGCTGGGGCACACGCCCCACGTGGGGGTGCGTCTGGTCTCACCCTCGGCCTCAGCAGCACCACCTGTTGGCGCTTGGCAAGGCCCTGTGGTTTCAGGAAATCCTCCCCTCCAGTCTACACCTGTAGACGAGGTGTGTTGGCCTGCCTCAGAACCCACTCGGGGACAGGGACGTCTACACCTCTGCTGCACCTGCTGCCCTCGGCCTCATGCTGGGGGCAGAGTTCCCCTGCCCTGGGACTGTGGGCCCACATGTCTTTTGGCTCCACGAGGACTACACTTCTGCTGGGTTTGCCAGGCTGGGTTTGCCTCACCCTCGTGACCGACGCAGCCCCGGAGACCTCGAGGACGCTGGGCGGTTAAGTGCCTCGGACACAGGTTCCGCCTCATCGGAACATAAACTGCCGGGCCAGTGACTTCAGGGCACAGCGGGTTCCCATGACTGCCCTGGGTGGAACCCAAGGGCCGAGAGTAGCCGGTCAGGAGACACCGCCAGAAACGGCCACGTGCCCAGGTGGCCTGCCCAGCCTGCCAGTGCAGGGCCACCGCCCCTCAGATGTCAAGAGCCAACGCTCTTGTGAAAATCGTCCAGGTTCAATGTGCTGCAGTTACCACGAGCGTTGGCCTCCACAGGGAATTACCAAGCTGCCTCTCCAGTACCCAGGCCCGCATCCTCCCTCGTTCCCCCAGGCCCCCTCACCTTCTAAGTCCATGGCTCTGTGTAATCAGCCCCAATGGAACCCTACCCCGGGGAGCACCCCCAGGGGACCAGGCCTTGCAGGAGGGCAGGACGGACCTAGGAGGCCAGACCTTGTGCGGGGCTAGGATGGCCCAGGTGACCCTTCAGTGGTCTCCGTGAGGAAGGCCCAGGTGACCCAAGCTGCGGGGGCCTAGATGGGAAACATCCCAGGTGACCGGACCCTGCGGGGCCCTGCAGGAACCCGGTGCCGGAGCCTGGCAGGTGACCGCCCCGTCGGGGGCCAGCCCGGCCCCGGAGAGCCTGCACCGGGACCCTGCCGCCTCACCGGCCTCTCCCGTGCATCCCCAGGTACTTCCTGCAGCCCCGAGACACCGGCAGCAAGAGCCTGAAGCCGGACGACCTGGGGTCCTTGAGGCTGAACGTGGTGTACACGGAGGACCACGTGTTTTCGTCCGACTACTACAGCCCCCTGCGGGACTTGCTGCTCAGGTCGGCGGACGTGGAGGTATTTGTCCACACCCGTGCTGGTGGCGTGTGCCCAGCCCTGACAGCCTGCCGGTAGCCGGCCACGGTCCCTTCCACCGGCCTGCCCTGCCGCCTCCGGGACTCTGCCCCTGGCTCGGCCCCACCCTGCCCTGAAGGCTCCCCCCGACCTTTGCCCCCCCAGCCCCACCTACCCCTG